AGTGAGAAGGAAATTATATCATTTTGAGGAAAATGGGTAGAACTGAAGATCATCATGTTGAATGCATCAAGCCAGACTCTAACATGTTTTCTCTCACATATGGACCTCAGGCATGCTTGCGCTCATGCACGCACACGTGTGTGTGTGTGTGTGTGTGTGTGTGTGTGTGTGTGTGTGTGTGCAGTACATGAAATACATGTAAGAAAATGTCACATTTTTCAAAATGAATATATGGTTAAGAAAGAAAGAGGAAAATGCCTGGAGCCAAGATGTGATAGCTGGGTCTGCAGTTGTCTTCTTGGACCATAAGGTGGCCAGAGAGTCCCAGGATGAGAATGGCAGAGCAGAGCAATGGGCAGTGCAGACCTGACAGGTCCTGTCAGGCCTCAGACTAGCTGTGGTCTGCACTGCCCAGACCCTCTTCAATGTAGAGACCTAGACTTGAAGCTTCTGTCAGCGTGAGCTTTTGTTTTGCTTTTGTCTGTCTTTGTCCAGCAAGTATGCGAGCTTCTGTGTTCTGGCACAATACAGTCTGAATGGTAGGGGCCTTGAGTACCCTGGTGTTTGGTGACACCAGGCAGTGGTGTATGTTACAGAGGGCAGAGAAAAGGAGAGGTGGCCCAGGGACAGCATCATGTATTCTGTGCACAGAGCTATGAGTAAGCAGGCCAGGGGCCCACAGACATGCCAGGGGTGCATTCAGGAGGGATCACAAGCCAGGGAGTTTGTGAGAAACAGCAAAGGGAAGGCCGCTGCTCAGGATGACTGGGAGAAGAGTGAAGACTTGGAGCAGGAAGAAGGACAGAGATCAAACTGCAAGTTCCCAAAGACTAGGGCATGAGGGCTCACACCTGTATTCCCTGTGCCGCAGAGGCTGCAGGCAGGATGGATGAGAGTTCAAAGCCAACCTAGGGTACATAGTGAGACCCTATCTCAGAGGGAGAGGGAGAGCAGAGAAGAAAAGATTTCAGAAGGAGTTGAAGCCTAACAAACGGAGAGAAACACCAAGAGCAGCAGGATTCATAGAGGATGCTAGGAGAGTGGCTGTGCCCTTGCTTACGCTGTGGTCCGAGTGAGGAAATGTACATGGGTGTAAAGTATGAACTCAAGGCCTGTGTATATAGCCCAATGGTAGAGCATGTGTTCAGCATGTGTAAGGGCCTCGGTTACATCTCCAGGACCACAAAAAGAAAATAAAGTCCTGATTTGATGGAGGAACTTCCTTTTTCATTAAGTACATAGGTCCCTTGGATGACAGGGTCACCACCCAACTCCAGGACTTCCCTTTGCCATTCATTTCTGGACACCCTTCTGCCTCTGTGCCTTTGTCTCCACCCTAAAGTCGAGCACCCATTCCTTTGCTTCTGAAGTCCACCATGGGTTCAGGTCTCTTTGAGCCTATCTGTCACCATTACTCCTCAGGGTATGTTCCACCTCACTCTGGCCACCCTTTCCAACCTACATTCGACTTGGGCCAACTGGTGTCTCAACCCCTCACACCTCGCCTCCCCCCAGCCCCAGGTTCATCTTCCACTTGTGCACTGTGCCCTTCCACCAAACTGCCGCATCCAGAATCAGGACTCTTATCCACAGAACATTTACAAGAGCACCCGCTTGGTGTTCAATTAACAGTTGCTGAGTGAATAAACGTTTTCAGTGTCTAAAGTTGAAGCTAATTGACTAAAAGCAAGTGATACTGAAACTAGTTTAAATTTCAGCACCAAAGAGCTGCGGGAAATTAAGTAAGCAAGCTGGGACTGAAAGTCAGTCAGTTCCCAGCCTCCTGTGAGTCCTGTGAAACCCACAGGCCGCCCATGTAAGGATGAAAGCTTCCCTTTTCCTGAGAGTCAGTTTCTCCCCTTCCTGGGCCTCTGTTGCTCCCGAGCTCTCTGGGTCCTCAAAGAATTGGAACCCAGGCTGATAGTGCGCTCAGTAGACACCTGAGCTGATGGGGACAAGAGCAGTCTGCTTCCCGTTGTCATTGTTGTGCTGGAAACTCGGCGAGGGAAGGGAGAGCCAGGCTCAGCACGGTGGTGGGGGCTGGTCAAGTGGCTGCTGGAACGCTTAGGAGGCGTGTTCTCATCCATGTCACCATTCGGGGAGCACAGCCCTGAAAAACACTTCTTCCGTTACACAGATGGAAAAGTCACTTTTATTTTCGTCCAGATACTGTTTTGGTTTTTTTTTTTTTTTCTTTTAAAGCGTCCATTCCAGCCCAGGAAAGCCACCAAAGGCTGCCTCCAGCTCAGCCCCCAGCAGAGCCCAGCTGCCTAAGCTGGCATTTGAAAAGCCCTCATGCCCCATGCCCCGGGGCTGCTCTGGAGTCATCTAAAATGACTGCCTTGGGTGTGGAGAAACTGAGATAGGGAGAGTGCCTGCCTGGCAGCTTCCAGTCTGGGTTTTCTTATGTGTCAGCCATGCAGAAATCCCTCATTTGGGACACAGAGCTGAGGAAAAGCTGAGCGCATGGCCTACTTAGGAAGCCTTAATTATGGCCTCTGGGTGGTATTTTCCTGTCATCCAAGAACCGACTTCCAAGGCTGTTGATGGGGACTGATTTATCCTGACATCTGGGCCCCCTTCCTTAGAAACTTGCTGTCAATTCAGGCTTGGTCGCACTGTGCTGGGGCATTATTATAACTGGGTGGGAGAAATGGGGTATGGTACCAATGTCAGAGCTCAACACTGCTGCCCTCCGAGAGGGGTTAGAGCCCTGGGCACCTGCGGGGGCTGAGGTGGGGCAGGACACAGCCCTCCGGGCTCTGGCAGGACATTCCAGCCCAGCCGGGCCTCGCCCTAGGTCCATTCTCTTCCCCTCTGGAAAGTTCATGCTCTCGCCCACGTGTGCATGTGCGTACGTGCACAGGCCCCGGAGGCCCAGGTAAAGAGAGCCGACGTGTATTGTGTTTTGGAACCTTTACTCCTCAGCTCGTCTGTGAGGAGGCTGAGGGCTGTCATTACTGCTCTCTGACTTGCTAGGTTGCCAAGATGGGGGGAAAACAGTTTTTCCTCCTCTAAGAATCTATTTGGTTAGTCGTAACCCATAAGCATTTCTTAGGAGAGAGACACCCTATGCCTGCTGAAAAAAATAAAAATAAAATGGCCTTGGCTAGCTTTCAAAGACCCTGTGCCTGGCCAGGTACTGTCTGTCAGCGTGGCAAGTGGAGCGACCTGCAGAAAACCTCTCTCCATGAGTTTAGGTAACAGAGCCTTCCTTGCATGGTTCTTGTGGAAGGAGGCGCCTGTTTTCTATGCCCTGAAGACCCTGCCATTTCCCTTTTTCTGTGCCTTGTCTTGCTAATCTGCTCTTGCCATGGCTGTCCGACTTCCGGGTGGGTGTTCCCTCAGCACCACCTGTGGCCTCACCTTACCTCACCTGACCACTGCAGTCAGCTGCCCAGCCCTGGGCAGCTTCTGTTCCATTTCAGTTTCAGGTTTTATTTTACATTTTTCTTGCTTTGTGTGTTTGTGTGTTTATTTGTGTGAGCGTGCTTGCGTCATGGCTCTCTGCATCCACTGAATGTGTTCGGGGATGGAACTCAGATCGCCAGGTTTAGATGCAGGCACCCTTACTATCTTATCAGGGAGCCATCTTGCCTGCCCTCTGGTCTTTGTTCTTTAAAGATAGAGACTTATTTGTAGATCAGGTTGGGCTGGAAACCTGAGTGATCCTCCTGCCTCTGCCTCCTGCGCTGGGGCCTGGGATGCAGGTACAGGAACACACTGGGCTGTGGGGTGTACCTTTCACCTGCTTGGATTTTTGTAGGAAGACCCCGGGCCTTTGCTTATCTCCCGGGCTCCTGTCCCTCCTGGACCTGTGCTCCCAGGGCAGAGGATGAGGCCTCTACTGGGTTACTCTTCACCTTAGGGTGGGACACTCATCCTCCCTGTGAGAGTGAGATTCAAAGGTCTTAGCCCAGCCCCCCAACCCCAGGTCTTGATTCAACATTTGAGAACACCTGTGGCTGCACCCAGCCTACTCATCTCAAGGCTGTTTACAGCTTCCTTCTTACCTGTGAAGTTCTTAGTCACTGTTTGGAGTCCCTCTTTTCATTCACTTGTTCATTCATTCATTCATTCATTCATTCATTCATTTCCTCTCATGCTTGCTGCTTCTGGGCCCTGGAAGTGTGGACATGACCTATGCCAATGCGGCCCTTACCCACATTTCTATTTTTATTTATCTTTATTTTTGAGAGATAATCTCATCCGGCAGCCAAGACAGCTCAGATTCACAGCAATCCTCCTGCCTCATCCTCTCAAGTGCTAGGCTTACAGGCATGTGCCAGCACACACTTTTATGCTGTTGGGGAGAGACAGATCAGAAACAAGTAAAGGAACAGATAAGATAATATAGAGAAATGTTAACAGGACAGAGACAGAGCCTCAGCCTCCCAGTGAGAATGTGAGGGGCCAAGAGGCAGAAAGGCCTGTGGGATGGGTGATCTCCCGACAGCATGGCCAATCATTGTTTTATTGTTGTTTTTGAACATGTCCTTAAGTGGTCTGAAGGCAAAAAGCCCCAAGGATATAGTTTTCCCCCCTCTGTTGATGTGGGCTCAAAGGGAGGCCAGGCTCACTACTGGCAGGGACAACAGCCCAGCGAGCCCACAGAGTCTCTGCAGCCATCCACAGGGCAGCAGTGGGAATGAGAGGACATGAGGATGTGTGTCAGGGAGCCGGACCGTGCTGCAGCTGTGTCTCACCCGGCTATGAGCTACTGAGCCCGGCCGCTACCTGCTATGAATGGAGGGTGGTCAGGCACCGACATTCTCTGGCTTTTGTGACTTCAGAACAGCCTATTCCTTGAGAAAGACCAAGCCAAGAGTCCCCAAAATCACGAAACACAAAGCACCTGTTGCTTCATTTCTGCAGCATGCTTCTGGTGCCAGAACATACAGAACCTGCTTACCTGGAGCTGGGGACCACACCCCCACCTGTGAGCAGAAGTGTAACCAACCCTCTCCCAGTCCTAACTCTGCCCTCCTTTGGCCTGACAGATGAAGACATGCATTTGTGGTGTCCCTCACTGCAGGAGGTCAAGGAGGTGTTCCGAAGCCTGGGAGCTTACAACCCTGCTCTGTACCCACAGGGGCCTTTCCAGCAGAGCTCAAGGTGTGTACCTCCCCTCCTCACTGCTGCCTTCTCTAGATAGTGACTCTAGCCTACAAGGTAGGAACTAGTGCACAAGCACACATGGCTACCCGTGAGAACAGGTATTGTTCTGTAAACAGCATGACCAGAGCCCAGAGCTCCGGTACCTGGACAACCAGTGTGAAAGAGTTTTGTCACTTCTTTGGCCCCTGTCCCCCTCCCACTGGTGGACTCCAGACTTCTCAGCCTAGTCAATACCTCCCTTAGCAGACTTCAGTCTCTATTCAAATCTGTGTGACCAGTGCTTATAACAGCTCTTGGCCAGCCAAGCACAGTTTTCTGTCATCTTGGGCTGGGAGGGGATGAGGGGGGGAGGTGATTTAAGACAGAAATTGATATCTCTCAGGCAGGCCTCAGACTCACTATGTAGTGCAGGAGATTAAACCCAGGACTTCCTGAACACTAGCCAAGCACTGTACCAACTGATCTATGTCACAGACCATTGTGTATTAAGACAGAGTCTTGCTGTATAGCCCTAGCTGGCCTAGAGTTTTCTATGTATACAAGGCTGTCCTTGAACTCAAGGCTACAGGTTTATACCAGTGTCTCTGGCTTAAAATGGAAAATATCCTTGAATATCCTTTAGTCCCAGGAACCAGAGGCAGGCAGATCTTTGTGAGTTCAAGGCTAGTCTGATCTCCATGAGGAAGTCCAGACTAAACAGAGCTACACAGTAAGACCCTGTCTCGAAAATACCATTTGTATCTATAGTAAACTTTGTTGTAAGAAAAAGAAAGAAAGAAAGAAAGAAAAAAAGAAAGAAAGAAAGGAAGGAAGGAAGGAAGGAAGGAAGGAAGAAAGGGAGGGAGGAAGGGAGGAATGAAAGAAGGAAGGAGGGAGAGAGAGAGAGAGAGAGAGAGAGAGAGAGAGAGAGAGGGAATATCCCTTTCCCAAGAGGCTCATGCCAGCTAGACAGACTACCAGCCAAGCCTCACTCCCTGCACCAAGCACTGTCTGCATATAGTGTCCACTTGCTTCCGTTTTCTGAGAGTCCACTTTGTGCTGCACTGGGCTTGGTGGTGGTGGACAGTGGTGCTAACTGTGTGAGCAGATCCCTGCCCTCTAGGGACTGAGCCACACAAAGCATAAGTGGTTGTTGCCATGGATGAAGAGGACAGAGGCTGTGGAAATGTGCATCACATTGTTCTCCACTCTCAGCACATCCCAACCTCCTTGAAAACTCTTTGAGACATTCCCACCCTGCATCCGGCAGCAGTCCCTCCACCCAGGCAGAACTGGGACCCTTTCTTTAGCTGCCGGATGTTCCTCTGCAGGGAAAGCGGAGCTTTCTTAAGAACCTGTTCCACGACTGTGTTTAGTAATTGTCTGCCAAACCCAGTCACACTTGGCTCTGCTATAAATACCCCACACGTGTGCCAGCCCGCCATGTTCCTGCCCCTCTTCCTTCTGGAGCACAGTGCTCCGTACTGGGTGTAATAAGGCTCTTGCTGCCTTCTAACACACCCTGCTGTGTCTGGGATAAGTGGGGAGAATTGGAATTAGAAAAGCAAGGCACGAGCCGGGCGGTGGTGGCGCACGCCTTTAATTCCAGCACTTAGGAGGCAGAGGCAGGCGGATTTCTGAGTTCGAGGCCAGCCTGGTCTACAGAGTGAGTTCCAGGACAGCCAGGACTATACAGAGAAACCCTGTCTCGAAAAAAAAACAAAAAAACAAAAAGAAAGAAAGAAAAAGAAAAGCAAGGCAGAGGCAGGGCATGGTGTGGAGGGATCGAGTGAGAAGCTGACACACAGGGCACCCCTGGGAGGGGGGGGTCAGAAATAGGTGAAGACTTTCCCTCCAGGAGGAGGCTGTCCTAGGGCTCCATGCACAAACCGTAGCACATGGACTGCAACTTGACCAGGTACAGTGAAGCCCTGAATTGGAAGAGGAGACTTGCTGTATGGCATGGTGCCGCTCCTAGACATGCCTTTTGACCCCTCCTTTCATGGGTCCTGGACATTGGCATAGCTGCTAAGACTCTTTCTTGAAGGAGAATTCAGAGTAGTCCTGGAGGATCCATCAGTGGTCACAAGGGCATTTTTCTTGCTTGTGGCTTGTAAGAGCTGGCTGGGAACCATCTGCTGAACACTTGAGACTGGAGAGGTTTTTCTGCCTGCATTCATTCTCCATGCGTCTTTCCTGAAGCAGGTGGGTGGTGAAGATGCTCAGGGCTCTTCCTTGGGTTGCTGTGATGTTTGATGGTTGAGAACACTATGGATTTCATCATGGAGCTGAAAGACAACTCCTGATAAGTATTCATGTCCAGATAGTTCCAGCATTCCTTCACTGAGGGCACAACATCTTGAGGAATAGACGTAAGAAATGATAGATCAGGCCAACTTTGCCCCATGGTCCTGTTCGTCCTTATTATTGGCTGGTCTTGGATACTAGCATTGTGCCATTTGTTCACCATAGTTTGGTTTGTTTATTTGTTGTTGTTTTTTGGTTTTTCAAGACAGGGTTTCTCTGTTTAACACCTCAGGCTGTCTTAGAACTCGCTTTATAGACCAGACTAGCATTGACATCACAGAGATCCCCCTGCCTCTGCCTCCCAAGTGCTGGGATTAAAGGCATGCACCATCACTGCCCAGTAGTGCTAGGTATTTCTCATCTCTATTGGCTTCTAGGCATGTCCCAACCAAGGGCTCCCTCTGGGCCACCTCTGGAGGTGGCACGCCCAGAGTCTCATAACAGCTCAGAGTAGAAGTAAGGACTGAAATGCCTCTGCACAGAGCCACACAACTGTCTGTCTAGTTACTATGAGAAATTGTGTCTTGCACTATTTGTTCCTAAACTCAGATGTCTGCCACCATCTCTCTTCCAAAATGTGTATCATGGTTTTCTAGCAGGGCTGGGGGATGGCTCGGTTGGTAAAGTGTTTGCTGTACAGCATGAGGACCTGAGTTTGGGTTCCCAGAGCCCAGGAAAAGTGAGGCACAGCGCTGCAGGGGTGGAGATGGGATGCTGGAGCATGCTGGCCAGCTAGTCTAGCCAACACTGTGTGCTCCAGGTTCAGTGAGAGAGCCTGTCTCATAGAATATGCTGGAGCTGGAGAGGCAGCTCAGCTAAGTAAAGCCGAGCTAAGGTCGCGGCCAGAAAGCAGGGTGGAGAGTGTGACAAGAGGGAGGCGTGGACTGTCTCCAGATACAGTCACAGATTCGTGTACACACACACACACACACACACACACACACACACCCCTGCAGGCATGGGTACACAACTCTGACACATACAAAGGCTTCCTCTCAGAAAGGCACAGCCCTTCAGCAACTGCACCAGGTCAGTCATCTGAGGTCCAGAAAAGCAGGAGGATTTGTGTGAGCACAGGAGACAGGAGAGGAGCCTCAGCATTCCTGCATGGTTTGGGCCCACACTGCTACACAGCTGGGCTTTGTCTCTCTTCCCTGGGAACAACAGCAAGGTCTTTAGGTAGCTGTGACAGTCCTCTAGTGCTGCTTCCTGATTACAAAGCTGTCAGTTGGCTTTGAAAGAACAACCTAAGGGAAGAAGGACATTTTCTTTGGGCTTACCATTTCAGAGGGATCTGTCTGGGTCAGGGGGCTTCATTGCTTTTACTGGCAAGGCAGAAGGCCTGGTGGAGGACACCTGCTCAGCTGGTGGTGGGGACAGGCTCTGTCTTTGAAACCACACTCCTTGTGACCAGTCCTGCAGCCACACCTCCTATCTCCTAACAGCCTACTGAGCTAGAAATGCACCAGTCCATGACGTTAGCACTCTCACAGGAACAAAGGCCAGCTGATTGGGGTTGCCTAGATACATGGATTTGGCCTTTCTGGAGAGTTCTACTGCTGTTTTCTGGAGTCAGGGGTCAGGGTTCACTTGGTTCTCAGACAGGACATCTCTTGCAGAGGCCAGCGGGTAAGTGAGTGACTACACACTGAAAGAACATCCTGCCAGCCCTGGGGTAGTGGGTAGCTGCCCTGTGGTGCACTTGGATCCGGATATAAAGTGTATACATACACACAGCCTCATTGGTTCAGTAAAGACTGCTCTCATTCAAGGAGAAACCAAGTCCAGTTCCTGTGGACTTCAGCAACCTCACTGCTTAATGCCAGACAGCTCTGGACAGTGGCGGTGCTTGTGAGTGCCATCTTCCCTCCGAGAGTGTCACAGTGCTGTGCAGATGCTGGCTTTCCTGTGACTCTCTTTCCTCTTCTTACTTCCTTTGGTTTGTTTGGGCTTTTGATACAGGGTTTCATGTCACCCAGACTGGCCTCAAATGTACTATGTATCGGAGGCTGGCCTTGAACCTCTGATCCTATCTCTACTTCTACCTCCTGAGTCCTGGGATGACAGACATGAACCTCAACATCCAGCCTGTCTTTTCAACTCTCCAGGGAAGGCAAATGTTGATGTGTAGGAAGAGGTCAGTTGATGCGCTCCTGCAACTTCACTTTGTAAGTTTAAAACAATGTGGCTGAGACGTAAAGTCCAGGTCCTTAAGGCAGGCCATGAGCCCTCAGCAGCAGCTGAGGAAGAAGCTGACTGGACCTGTCAACCCACTCCTAACCTGTTGAGTTAAGGCTGGAAAAATGGATTCTGAACTTTTGCTGAATTTTTGCTATTCCTTGCCCTCTTGCTAGGTAAAGCCCTGGGAGTTAGCCATTGCTTCATCTAGAATAGCAGTCACAGATGTGACGGGATGATGCAGCATCTTTGCCTAGCAAGCATGAGGCCCTGAGTTCATTACCCACCCACCACTGCCAAGTGCATAAATAAATCACACTTTCAATAGCAGTCATAGATGTCAGCAGTGAGCACAGGACCCCATGATGTTGCTGTCCAGAAACAGAAGGGCTGGGAAATATTTGGCACTCAAAAGGGCAGGTAGCTCTACCTGAGAAGGCTGGCATCCCTTCCCGAGGAGTAGAGGCTCTATCGCAGCCACACTTCCCATCCTCAGACAGTTCTAAAAAGGCACATCACCAGCTCACACTTTCTTTGCCCTCCTCCCTTTGGCAGCAGCAAACTGTCTGAAAGCCTGTTTCTCTGTAACAGCCCATGGCTGCCCTACTCTTTGTGAACGTCTGAAAACACGCCCAACCCATGCTTGTGCCAGGTGCCTGCTCTCAGGCTGGTACAGACAAAGACACCCACTCACATATTGGTGCAAGCCCAGCATGCACCTAGAAGTGCAAACCCCAGCCTCACCCGCTCTCTGGTCCTAATAAATGCTAAAATCCAGAAGAAAGGCTGAGCCCAGCCCCAGCTTCCCCACCACCAACTTTGGTGTGTTGGCCCCAATTCCTCAGTGGTGTAGGAGACAGATCTCTCTCCCATCTGTGGAACACCAAGGCCATGAAGTGAAGAAAAGGGAGCCTTTTCCTGAAGCTGCAGTAGGTGCTGCCCTGACAGTGCCCGGCCTGAGCAGCTGTGCTAGAGCCCATTAGCGCTGTTCTCCTCAACGGGTGCAGCTAATTAGGGCACACTGCTTTCAGGGACTCTAAACAGGTTCCCGAGAGTGGAGAAGACAGGATGGGCCTCAGTGGTCGCTCACTTGGCATAGCCCTTGCCTAGCAAGCATGAAGCTAGGGTTGATTTCCAGCACCATATAAACTGAACATGGTGGCACACACTTGTAATCCCAGCACTCAGGACAGAGGGTCAGAAGTTCAAGACCATCCTAGACTACATAATGAGTTTGAGACTAACCTGGGATAGCTGAGACCCTGTCTCCAAAAAAAAAAAAAAAAGTGTGAAGTGAATGAGACAGCAGAGAGGAGCTTTGCCTGAGACTACTTAATTGACCCATAGTACCTAATGTACATTTGGTCTGAAAGAGAATAATTTAGTGAACTAAGGAGCTTTTAGGCCTGCCCACTCAGGCCAGCCTTGCCAAGAGCAGCTTCAGGCTGGCTGTGTTTGACTCTGGTGTTTAGGGAGGGTATTTCTTTACCCAGCCCCCAGTCACCAATCTGCCCCATCCCTGGAGGGGACAGGCCACACTGGGCCTGTCCAGACACAGCATAGCAGCCTTTGGTGGGAGTGTGCAGCTTTGTTCTCACTTCCATCTCGCTTACTCAGTGTTACCATGTGGTTCTTTGGTGAGTGGAGTGTATTTGCCATCATTGACCAGGCAAAGAGATGGCTTTTGTGGAAGGAAGATTGGAGAGAGATCAGAGGTAGGGTTTCCTGCTTTTGAGGTCCCAGAATGCTGAAGCTGGAGACCTCATCCGAATGCTGAACAAGAAAGAGGCACTCACTTCTCTCCCCACACCAAGGCAGGCAGGCCTGGGTTAGACATCAGTAGGAACAATAGGATGTCATTTCAAGCTCAGGTCTGAAAGGCCACAGCTGTCATGGGAGTACTTTCCTCCTGTTCTGGGGAAGGGACGACAGTCATCATATTGAGGAGCCCCTTGTGGCAGGGAACTACGAATCTCCTAATCCATGGTTATATGGTTGAGCTGAGAGACAGGTCCCTAGCTTGGTCAAGCCTGACAGGAAGGTAGCCTCACCCAGCATCTTGAAGACAATCGCAGAACCAGCCTCTAGCTGACTGTTCCTGGACCTTTGGCTCTCAGAATCTCAGTGGCATAATTTTTTTGTAGTTTTTGTTGTTGTTTTGAGAGAGGGTTTCTTGGTGTAGCGCTGGATGTCCTGAAACTCACTACATAGACTAGGCTGGCCTCGAACTCCTCCTGCTTCTGCCTCTTGAGTGCTAGGGTTAAAGGCATGTACCACCAGTGTCTGGCCATAATAAAAGTTTTAAAGCCTCTAGGAAGGTCTGTCCTAGCAGATGATGATGGGACACACGTCACCAGTGGCCCTGCTCAAGTGGGTCATCTGGGCCTTCTCTGTTCCTCTGCCTCTCTTTCTCCCTGAGCAGCTCCTACTCCCCTGTTATATATAATGATATTGCTTCTGTTTTATGTCAGGGTGCTTGAGAGTGAGGCCAGTCTGGGCTGCTGGGAACCACAGGATCCTCCCCAGGAAGTGGCCTTGGACATTAAGTTGAGCTACATCTACAGGGTGAGCCACACTTTCCTTTCCTGACTCACCCTAAAGTGTTGGGGGTGCAACCCCGACCTACTCAGTGGTTTAGGTGGGTAGCTTCACCAGCAGCCACAGTGAGCCAGCTCAACCCCAGTGCAGGCTCTGTGGTGGTCCTGGTACCCATGCTACAGAAAGTCTGAAGTTTACCTTGACTGCCAGCATGTTCACAGAACAAGTGCCACTCTGGTCTCCAGGGAGCCAATCTCAGAGCTCCTTCCCTCACTCTGAGTCCCCACCCCTCCCCTTCCCTCACTCCATGCCCCCTCCTACCCTGCTTCTTTCTCTCGCCATACAGTTCCTGATCCTGTGTCTCCTAGTCCGGCCAACATCCTACACTGACGCCAGCATCTTAGGTCTGATGGAGCTGCTGTGTCGCGCAGGCTTGGATGTGGGGTTGCGTCTGCTGCCCAAGACTGACCTCCAGCAACTCCTGCTCCTGCTGCTGGAGAATATCCAAGAGTGGCCTGGAAAGGTACACAGCCTGGGCTCTGCCACTGGGGTGCCCTTGCCCCTGGAGCACCCTAGGAAGGGAGAGCATCACTTGCAGCTTCTTCAGGGGTCCCTGGCCTTCATGAAGGGACCTTTGCTCCCCTAAGTTAGCAGGTTAGAGGTGAAGGCAGCTTCCTCCAGCAGCTTACTGTGTGCCTCTGTCCCACAGCTCCAGCCCCTGTGCTGTGCCCTGAGCTGGGTGTCGGACCACCACCACAACCTACTGGCCCTTGTTCAGTTCTTCCTGGACGTGACGCCCCGGGGCAGGTGGGTGCTTCTCAACCACTCTGCCCACTCCCTGATGCTCATCCCCACGGGGTTGGTCATTCAAGGATCTAGAATCTTCCCTACCAACCCCAACAAACAAACTGTCTGCCTGGTTTCTAAAGTCTCAGAGGAAGAACTAAAAATACAATTCACTAATGAGTTCTTTACAAATGAAAAAAAAAACGCCTAATTTTCTTAACATGATCTTATTAGTAAAACACTGTCTTATACAATTAGCTTCTGCCAGCAGTGCCTGCCTGCCTTTCTTTGGGGACTCCCCCTGCCTTAGGTTTCTGGGTTCTTCTTGTCACTCCCTTCCCTCTCTCCCACCATGCACCCCGCTCCCAGTCCGTCACTGCTTTTTTTCTGCACAGCTTTTTTCTGCCATAAATGATCTACTATTTATTTCCCTGTTTGGACTCACTCTCCCCTCCAAGTCGCCTCAGGATCAGGTGCCTTTTCAGGATCACTGCCATATCACCCCAAATCCCAGCCCGTGCCTGGCAGGCCAGTGTTGTTTTGTAAAATTCTTGTAGGATGATGAAGTGAACAACAGACTCAGCCCAGAAGATAAGAGCTGTTGGCTAGACTCACCTTGTCTCTCCTCATCTCCACCTTTCTTCTGCTTTTCTCCTGTGAGTTCAAGGCCAGCTACAAGGAGTGCCCTGCCTGGGCCCTTGGTCCCTCCCTTCCCACCCCATCCTCAACAGGCACTTGACAGTTGTAGTCTGTGGTTGTTCCCGTGACCTCCCAAGAGACCTCACCCAGGCCTGTCAGGCAGACACTCGACTGACATGGTGGGTCAGCCATCACCGTACTGGTTTCAGCTCCAGGCTCTTCCCTGTGAATCTGCCCAGTCCGAACCCCAGTTTGCGCTAGTCCATGCATCCCAGGCCCCGGGGATTTCTTTCCATTTGATTTGAAAAGACTGAGCCTGCCCCCCCCCCCATCTGCTGTCCCCCACAGCACATCCACTCAGGGGTGCGAGCTGGAATCACTACTCATCCTAGAGGCTTCTCCATCTCCCACCGTTCACCCCAAAACCTGTGCTGATGCCTTCAGAATCCTAAGTCCCTGTTTTTGGTTGCACCTTTGTGTCAGCTCCATGATGTCCGTTGTGTTGACTGGGTCATTCAACTACCCCCGCCCCACCCCAGAGGCAGCCTTGTCTGTACCTTTCAGCCTTTAGACACCTACTGACACCAGCAAAAAGCAGGTGGACCAGTGGCGTTTAGCACTGCAGGTTGTCAATCTGATGAACAGAAACTGGCATCCTGTGGTTTTCATTGTCATCTCCCCAATCACCAGCAAAGTCCAAGAGGAGCTTCTTGGATGTTTGTGGTTCCCTTACTGGGATTACCTTCCAGTATCCCTTACCGCTTCGCTTTCTCATCAGGTAATTTATCTTCTTATTAACTGCACTGATGTTCATGCTACTTCTCATACTTGTTGCAAACAGTATATTTTCTCCTAAGGTTGTAAATTGTCCTCTTTTGAAAGTTAAATTTAGTTTTGCTGGGCAATGGTGGCCTACACCTTTAATCCTAGCACTCAGGAGGCAGAGGCAGGCTGATCTCTGTGAGTTCAAGGCCAGCCTGGTCTACAGAGTAAGTTCCAGACAACCAGGGTTACACAGAGAAAAACTCTGTCTCAAAAAAAAAAAAAAAGCAAAACTTAGTTTTATTGTATGTGTATGAATGTTTTACCTGCGTGTTTATGTGTGTGCACCACATGCATGCCTGGTGTCATGGAGACAAGAAGAGGGTGTTGGATCCTATGGAACTGGAATTAGAGATGATTGCTGAGCTGCCATGAGCTGTCAGGTGAGTGCAGGGAATCAAACTCAGGTCCTCTGCAAGAGCAGCAAGAGTTCTCAATCTCTGAGCCATTTCTCCAGCCTGTTTGTAATTTTTATTACATTTACTTATTTTGTGTATCTGTAAATACATGTGTGCCACAATTAACTTATGGGAAGCAGTTCTCGCCTCTCACTGTGTGAGACCCAGGGATCGAACTCAGGTTGTCAGGCTTGGCCGTAAGCTCCTTTACCCAGTGATCATCTTTCTGAACCATTTTTAAAATTTTGTTGTTGTCATTTTGTTCTTTGAGACAGGAAGGGCCTAGAACTCTTGTATTGTAGCCCAGGCTGGCCTAGAACTTGTGCTGGCCTTCTGAGGACTAGCTGAGGTGGCAAGTATGGACCATTATGCCCAGCCTATAAGTAAATGTGTATGTCTTGCCCTGTGGTGTCTTTCAGTGAACTGGCTTGTGCTTTTACTTTGTCAGTAAGTGGGGTGGCTGTTAGACTTCGGCACGCAGCTTAGAACAGACAACACCAGACCAAACGGTTCCAAGGTTGGGGGGGGGGAGGTTATTCAGGGCAAAGGGCAAAGGTGGGGGAAGAGAGATAGAGGAAGATGGGGGAGAAAGAGAGCAAGGTCAGGGAGTTCTGCCTATTTTATATGGGCGGTGACGTAGCCTTTCCCAGGTAAAGGTGAGATAGCCAGGTGGATTCTGGGAGTATATGGCAGTTGCCTGGGCAATGATGTGGGGTCGCCTAGATGTGATGTCACTGGGTTCGGGCCTGATACCAACATACCTCTCTTTTTCTTCTTACAAAGAGAAGAAAAAAGGGGAGGGGAAGCCGATGGTGAAAGGGGAGTCAGGGTACCATGTCTCTTAAACTACTTCCTGCTGTGTAGGGGCGTAGTCCATTGTGGGGAGCAGCTGGCTTTCACCATTGGGGTTCACTTGGTAGATGAGTGTATCAGGTTCCTCTGTGGACAGCAGCTGGTAATTCTGTAACAGGAACTGATTAATAAATTGGTTAGAAATAATAACACCAGGAGGATGACTAAAAAGGGTGTTACAAAAGAGGGTATCTGCTTTTATATGGGTTTTCAAAAATCTCAGAATTGGGAGGTCTCACATTCCCTAAAAAACGGCATTCTTCTTGGAGGAGTTGTGAAGACCATCTTTTTTAGCTGTCAGGACATCTGGCACCTGTCAGTTCTGAAGTGCCACAGCTGGAATCCCGTGAGTCTTGTATGTAGAAAAGAGTGTCTTGTGGTGTTGGTAGAAGAAATGGTTGGTTCGTGATCCTAGCATATGTATCTGACAAGACCAATATGGGCAGCCCCCATAATCGTCTGGCCAGTTTCTACAATAATCTTATATCTGGTGAAAGAGAAAGCAAGTGTAGAGAACATAATATTTAGATGGGATAACAGATATAGGAATGATGGCAATTTGGATTGGTTCTTGGCGTCCGGCTATGGAGCAGTTTCCTGACCCTGTTTGGAAAGACTGTTTGTTATCTGTGGGTGTCTCTTGAACCTCGAACCTCCAAATGGATGGGCTGACCTGGATAGAAACAAGCAGCAGGGGGAGGACGAGAAACCCGTGTCTAGTCCAGGGAAGTCAAGCTCGGCTGCCGGAGTGGAGTCTCATTTTCTGGGATTGAGGACAAGGTGGGTGATCTCGATGTCCTCTGGAGCTTAATAGAGCACGGTCCCGTTAGGGTCGACATGTATGAAGAAGAGTCAATTTTAGATGGAGGGATGAAAGGCTTGAGGTGAGACAAGTGGACCCAATGAGGGAGTCCTTCAAGTTTAGCAGCTGTAGGGGTCACAAGAACTACTTTAAAAGGGCCCTGCCATTTGGGAGAGAGGGGTGAGGGCCGATGATCTGGAGGGGAGAAAAAGACTTGGTCTCTGATATTGACAGGCAGTGGACAGGAGACAGTGTGTGATCGAGGTAGATGGTGGTCAGCAAAGTTCCACAAGAGAGAATGGAGGTGGCAAAGCAATGGGGTGAGCAGATGGTCTGGGAGGGGAGAGCATTTAGGTGAAAGACCATGATTTAGAACTGGACGTCCATACCTGAGTTCAAAGGGTGAGATGAGGAGAGGCCGCTTGGCAAAACTGGAGCCTGACCCTGCTCAGGTCCTGCTAAGCTGAGCCTTCAGCCCCTCAATAACGGAGTTTTAAGACAGACTTAGGTTTGCAGGACAGTGGCATGGACCATACAGAGCACTGACTAGAACTTCTATATGATGTAATCTCTGTGTCTTCCCCACCCTAAAACCACACATACATTTAAAAAAAAAGTTTTCGCCGGGTGGTGGTGGCGCACGCCTTTAATCCCAGCACTTGGGAGGCAGAGGCAGGCGGATTTCTGAGTTCAAGAGTTCAAGGCTAGCCTGGTCTACAGAGTGAGTTCCAGGACAGCCAGGGCTACACAGAGAAACCCTGTCTCAAAAAGCCAAACAAAATAAATAAATAAATAAATAAATAAATAAATAAATAAATAAATAAAAGTTTTCTTTCAGTACCGACTAGAGTAAGTTCTTTTTCAGTATTTTGTTCCCAATATCTCTTAATCCCATCCAGAATCTACTTTTTCTATGTATGAGACAAAGATCTAACTGGATTTTCCCACCCCAAGCCCCTAAAAGAGTGTGGGTGCAATGCCCGTTTATTATTGGAGGGGAGAGGCAGGGAGGGGGAAAGAGAGGAGAATGAAATGTAGAGGTCAGGTGTGGTGCATACAACACCTAGATATTAACAATCCAATAAAAAGGAAAGAAGGGAAATGTATTATATATACATTAAGTACAAGTATATTTATAAATGTATTTACATATAAAATAAATTATGTTCTGTTAGAAGTTTTCACATCTGTATGAAAATGATCATGAATAATAAATTTTAAAAGTCATATATGTTTTCCTCCATCATTTCCTGATACAGTTGAAGGTATTCCTGTCATTATTCCTGTCACATCTGTAGCTGTGCTCACTCTTCTAGCCATGTCTTAGGCACTGATTTGGGGACTCCCAGGCCTTTGGGGACTCTCAAGTGCCTCTTGAATGACAAGGAGTAAAATGGAGTGTCCTTCACCTGTATTTCAGACAGATGTGTCAACAGAATGCCTTAGGCCACAAGTTTGCTGGGAAGAGGGTTCCTCACTGGGGTGTTACTTATTTAAATGCTGCCAGT